ATAGCGCCACATCACAACAACAGTTGTCTCACAGCGCTTTCCAAACAGAGCAGGTCAGACCCTACTCTGAAGTTAATTACAGAAACCCAACAATTCCCACCATGAGCAAGCACTAGGCGACACAGGCAAGGAAAAACTTCCTTTTAACAGGCAGAAACCTGGAGCAGAACCATGGCTCAGGGTGGGCGGCCATCTGCCTCATTTTAGTATCGACACTTTTTTAAGCATCGATACTTTTGACAACCCTAGTGAGTGGGTAGGTTTCCGGTGGCCTGTCTAACCTCTGACCCCTGACCTCTGACCCCCCCCAGCTCCATCGTGAACGTGCCGGGCGAGTCCACGCTGCGGCGCGACTTCATCCGGCTGCAGCAGGAGAACAAGGAGCGGTCGGAGGCGCTGCGGCGGCAGCAGCTCCTGCAGGAGCAGCAGCTGCGGGAGCAGGAGGAGTACAAGCGCCAGCTGCTGGCCGAGAGGCAGAAGAGGATCGAGCAGCAGAAGGAGCAGCGCCGCCGGCTGGAGGAGGTGAGGAGCCCCCCCCCCCGGGGACACATCCATCTATCTATCTATCTATCTATCTATCTATCTATCTATCTATCTATCTATCTATCTATCTATCTATCTATCTATCTATCTATCTATCTATCTATCTATCTATCTATCTATTTATCTATCTATCTATCTATCTATCTATGTTTCCATCTATCTACAGTATCAACATTTTAAAAAAAAGGTTGCTCTTTCATCCCTCTGTAAACACGTCTAATATGAGCGAACTAGCAGAGAAAGTCAGATTACACCACTTCTTTTTCTAAAAAACCCACTTAGGAGTCAGTTTTCTGAGTGTCCAGATACATCTGATCACAAAAATGAATTATTTATTGTGATCGTAGTTTTAGGAGAAGCCCATAAATTACCACGGCTGGAGGAGGTGAGGAGCCCCCCCCCCCAGGGACACGTCCAGGAGCTTTGGGTCTGAGTTAGCAGAAATCCGGAGTCAAAATTTAAAAAGAAAGGCATCTGATTGCTCTTTTAGTCCCTCTGTAAACATCTATCTATCTATCTATCTATCTATCTATCTATCTATCTATCTATCTATGGATGGCTTTAGGTCTTTGTGAAACTATGCTAGAGGCTTCTGACTTTAGAGGCTACTGGCTGGATTGTATCTTGGTAATTTGGCGTAACACCCTCCCTCCCAGATGGATTCTGGACTACAGAGGGGAAATAATTAGCCGCTGTCTGCGGAGAATCAGCTGGAAAACCTGCTGTGGAGTGATTTCTTACCAGCCTGCAGCTGCCTGAATACCTCGGTGCGTGTGGGCTCCTGTCTTCCTTCAGGAATCCAGAATCCTGCCAACCCGACGTGTCACGAAGCGCTTTGCGCCTAAAATGTGGCCCGTTTTAAAGGAGACATATTATACCCTATTTCAACAAGTTAAGCTAGTTCCCTGGTGTCCTAATGTAATGTCTGTGACAAGCTTTGGTCAAAATCCCATAAGGATGAAGCCCAATAGCAGTTCAGTCCCCCTGCCTAACCCTAACCCTAACCCTAACCCTAACCCTGCCAAAACAGCCCCGTTCAGAGCGCTCGCTTTGGAGTGCCTGTCTCTTTAAATGCAAATGAGACACTTCTTCCGGGAGGTGTGCCCACGTCGGCACGCTAACGCTACCATGCTAACGCTACCATGCTAACGCTCACGCTACCACTTCGCACTTATAATCTTAGAGGCGAAAAAAGTAAGAACTACATTTAAATCAATGTGCATCTCAAGTCGTGGTGTCACCCTCTGGAATAGTTTAGCGGAGGAACAAAAGTGTTGTGAAAACATAAACCGTTTCCAAAAAATATTTAAGCAGGATGTCTTTAGTAAATACATGGAAGAGAGTGAGTGATGCTCTATGAGGGTGGTGTGGTGTATGGGGGGGGTTGTAGGGACGGGGAGCATTGGGCGAGTGTGTTGAATCTGTGTCTTGTATGCATGAGTGTGGATGTGTTGTTTGTCTTGTCTTTGTTTTTTTCTTTACAGGTCTTGGTGAGTGTCTCTGGGATGAGTGGGAGGGGATTGGACATGCATAACCTTTTGCTTCCTCCATCCCCTTTTCAAGCCACGCATATGTATTGTTTGTCATTATACAGTGGGGGAAATAAGTATTTGACCCCTTTGCTGATTTTGCCGGTTTTCCCACTTACAAAGAATGCAACGATCTATAACTTTAATCATATGTACATTCTAACAGTGAAACACAGAATCCCAAAGAAAATTCCAGAAAATCACATCATATGAATTTATAAAAATTGATAACCATCTGATGAGGAAAAACAAGCATTCATTGTAAGTGGGCAAACCTGCAAAATCAGCAAAGGGGTCAAATACTTATTTACCCCACTGTATGTATTGTAAAGTGTGTGTAGGTTTGAAATAAACTTTCGAAATGAAAGGAAATCTTCTTACCGACGGGGTTATAATCCGGTTTTCCTCTTGGCGTTTTCCCGCCGTCTGACGGATGATTTCGGCTCTCCTGATTCCTCCTCCTCCTCCTCCTGACTCTTTCCGTTTCCTGTCCCGTTGCTATAGCAACAGCGGCGCGAGCGGGAGCTGCGGCGGCAGCAGGAGCGCGAGCAGCGGCGGCGGGAGCAGGAGGAGAAACGGCGGCTGGAGGAGCTGGAGCGCCGCCGCAAGGAGGAGGAGGAGCGCCGGCGGGCCGAAGAGGAGAAGAGGAGGGCCGACCGGGAACAGGTGAGGAAGAGGGGGAGAAGAGGGGAAAAAGAGGGGAAAAAGGCCCCGGAAAAGAGGCCGCGGGGCTCCGGTTTCTGGGCCGAAAACCCCCAAAACGGGGACGGGGGGCCACTTGGTTGGAACCAAAACAGGAAGAAGTATCGGCCCACAATCGGAAAACAATGGAAACATTTCCCACGTAGATCATTTAAAACACAAAAACAGATTTTGACTTTGTTCCAATGAGATCGTCATCTCAAATAATCAAATTCAAAGTGTTTTTCGGGAATTTTCCACCGTTATCTCACAAAATAACTAATAAATCTCTGGAAAACCCTGAAACGGGGACGGGGGGGGCCACTTGGTTGGAGCCAAAAAAGCATGAAGTTTCGGCCCACACTCAGAAAACAATGTGAGATGGAAACGTTTACCACTCAGATAATTTAAAGCACGAAAGCAGATCTCTGCAAATCCAACCCAATAACGACTAAATATATACCCTCATCCCTAGTCAAGGGTTGATAGTTTCGTATAAAAAGGCAAAAATCTCTGAATCTGAGTCAAATCTGAGGTTTTGACTTTGTTCCTATGAGATCTTAATCTCAAATAATCAAATTCAAAGTGTTTTTCTGTGATTTTCCACTTTTATTCAACCAAATAACTAATGAATATACCCTAATCTACAGGGTTAGGCTGATTGTTTTGTAGAAAAAGGCAAAAATCTCTGATTTTGAATAACCCTAACCCTGACCACCTCAGGGCTCCAAAATGTGAATTTGAGTCAAATCTCAGATTTTGACTTTGTTCCTTAGTGATTTTTGGTGATTTTCCACTGTTATCTAACCCAATAATAACTAAATATACCTTAATCTACAGTCCAGACCTGATTGTTTTCGTAGAAAAAGGCAGAAACCTCAGAATCTGAGTCAGATCCCGGGGCCTGCCCACACCTATATTTGATTTAAAAACAGTGCTAACTGATTCTGGTGTGTGATTGGCAGGAGTATATCCGGCGGCAGCTGGAGGAGGAGCAGAGGCACCTGGAGATCCTGCAGCAGCAGCTGCTCCACGAACAGGCCATGCTGCTGGTGAGTCCTCCTCCCCAACCCAGAGCCCCACAATCACACTGTTTCAGCACGGGAGCTACTATTGAAATGACCAAGTCAAAAAGATCTACCCTTTATAGTTATTGAGACATATATTGAGGATTCTTACAACTTATGTTGATGTATAACCACATATTGATGCATAACCACATATTGATGTACAGTTGGGGAAATAAGTATTTGACCCCTTGCTGATCTTGCAGGTTTGCCCACTTACAAAGAATGCAACGATCTATAACTTTAATCATATGTACATTCTAACAGTGAAAGACAGAATCCCAAAGAAAATTCCAGAAAATCACATCATATGAATTTATAAAAAATTGATAACCATCTGATGAGGAAAAATAAGCATTCTTTGTAAGTGGGCAAACCTGCAAAATCAGCAAAGGGTCAAATACTTATTTCCTCCACTGTATATCCACATATTGATGTATAACCACATATGGATGTATTATACATATTGATGTATAACCACATATTGATGTATAACCTCATATTACGACGGTAGACTGGCAGACGAGAAAAACGCACTTTGAAAATGTCATCATGAAAAAAAAGTCCTCCTCCCATTCCGTATGAACGTGATACGTTTTTTTCTTCTTACTTGGTCCAGCTCCCCCACTCATTTTCTTAACCTATCTTACGTTTAAGAGGAAAAAACGAGCGGAAAATTAGGATGAAACTAACGACTAGCTTGTTAGCTTTGCTGCGCACAGTGACCTAATTGTAGGGGAAAAAATCAGATGTCATCTGACTGGTTGTCCTGTGGATCAATCAAGTGACGGGATTGCTGATAGGCTGACGTCTAGTTTATATTCAAAACAACTCAACTGTATTTGTATAGCGTCAGTTCATGACGATGTCGCCTCACCTGGTCATGTGATCTACCGATAGTACCTTGGAGATCGACTGGTAGATCGCAATCGACGTATTGAGCACCTGAGGTGGATCGTTCCTCCACACGGGTCCTTTATTATTATGATCCCCACATTTCCTGATTCCATTGAACTTCCCGTCTTAGCAGGATAACGTCTCGTGGCTTTAGGAGGTCGGAGGGGAGCTATCGGAGCTCTTCTCGGGGGTTTTAGAGGCTATGGGATGTTTACGGACCAGGAAACCGGTCGTCCCAAAGGGAGGCAGGATTTCCCCTTGTTGACATTCCGGGTGCTTTGTCCGGATGTGATGGAAGACTCAGAGTTTCGGTTTGTCACCGTTTGTTGTCTCTGGTTTCTGGTTCCCCTCAAAGCCGCTGTTTCCTGTCTATTCTGCATTCGTGAGGCAAAGAGGAGCCGGCCGATGACGTTTAAGGAATAGAACCCGGAAAACCGGAAGAGGGAGGGAGGCTTTAGAATGACCACGAGGACGTTTTTAACCTCCTAAAATCTTCTGAATTGTGGACTCAGACCAGAGGAACCGGATCTGTCCCTGATGGTTAAATGACCAAAATCTTCTGAATCTTTGAGGATACTTGAATGTTTATGAGGAAATCCTAAATTTCCTGCAGCTGTCCGCTTAAAAACAGCTTTAGGCTTTAAACATTCAGCCGTGTCCAGTCTGATCGGGGGGTTTTGGACTTTTGTCCTGTTTGGAAATTCTGCCAGACTCTGAACTAGAAATGATAAAAACGAGAGTTTTCCCGGCTCAGTTTGGGTTTGTGGCTCTGAGGGTGTGTTTCTGCTAGTGGAAGGAACCTGGTCCGGTAGTCCCCAGGTCCGGTGGTCTCTGGGTCCAGTGGTTCCCGGGTCCGGTGGTCCCAGGTCTGGTGGTCTCCGGGTCCAGTGGTTCCTGGGTCTCTGGGTCTCCGGGTCTCTGGGTCTCCGGGTCTCTGGGTCCATTGGTCCCAGGGTCCAGTGGTTCCCGGGTCCGGTGGTTCCCGGGTCTTCTGGTCCAGTGGTCTCTAGGTCCGGTGGTTCCCGGGTCTCCAGGTCCGGTGGTTCCCGGGTTTGATGGTTCCCGGGTCCTGTGGTCTCTGGGTCCGGTGGTTCCCGGTACTGGTGGTCCCCGGGTCCGGTGGTTCCCGGGTCTCTGGGTCCATTGGTCCCAGGGTCCAGTGGTCCCCGGGTCCGGTGGTTCCCGGGTCTTCTGGTCCATTGGTCTCTAGGTCCGGTTGTCCCCGGGTCTGGTGGTTCCCGGGTCTCCGGGTCCGGTGGTTCCCGGTACTGGTGGTCCCCGGGTCCAGTGGTTCCCGGGTCTCCGGGTCCGGTAGTCCCTTCCCGTCCGGTGGTTCACGGGTCCAGTGATTCCAGGGTCCAGTGGTCCCCGGGTCCGGTGGTTCCCGGGTCTGTTGGTTCCCTGGTCCGGCTCAGCCCGGTGCCTCCCGTTACTCAGGAGTATAAATGGCGGGAGCTGGAAGAGCAGCGTCAGGCCCAGAAGCTCCAGAGGCAGCTGCAGCAGGAGCAGGCCTACCTGCTGGCCCTGGGCCAGAACCAGAACCAGAACCAGAACCAGACCCAGACCCAGATCCAGAACCAGGGCCTGAACCAGAGCCTGAACCAGAAACAGAGCCAGAGCCTGAGCAAGAACCAGATCCAGAACCAGAGCAACGACCAGGACCGGCTCGGCCCGGAAAAGCCCCCGGACCTCTCTGGCCCCGCCCCCGACTCTGAGCCAATCAGAGAGGTGATGCCGTGAATGCTTCCTGCCTGCGTGGACCCGCGGGGCCGGTTCTGGGTGTGCTGTGTGTGGGGTCTAATCTCTAAAGAAGAGAATCTAAAGAAATCTCGAGGAACTTTGAGGCCCTGTCATCAAAGTTTTCTCTCCGTTGATAACCTAATTAACTCATTGACTGCCAGAGCTTTTTGACTGATTTTTCAAGAGCCACAGAATAGTTTGTGCTTTGACTATGTAAACACCGAACACACCAAAAGAAAGAGTAGACTCTCTTCTTTCATCAGGAAAAAAATTTTGTTTCTACCTTATTCCGTTCTTCCTCTACTTGCGTCTCACCGGCGACATGTTCTCTCATAGCGAACCGTTACCTTTTTCATATTTGCCTACAGTCTATGCTAATCTCCCATCAAAAGTGGCACTGCCACCTAGAGGGTCAATTTGTTACTACATACTCTGTCTAGAAGCCGATATTTACAGACAAGCTTTAGCAGATCGTTCCCCAGCCACTCTCGTTGAAAAACATAAAAGACGTCTTTGGCAGCCAATGAGTTAAAAACAGTGACTTTTATACATCCTGACCAGTTGCCTGAAGTTTAAAAAGAAATTTCAAGCCGTAAATAAGGGTCAGTCTGTGGTCAGGCTCTCTCAGCTGGACCTCTGAGGCCACCTTAGGCCTTCACATCCTCCAGGTTCCACCCGCTAACATCCCCAAAATCCACTAGGATCACTAACAAAAACTCACAATGGGCCGTCTCCGTATGGTACTTTGGGTTTTTTGGACTTCCTGCTCTGTGCATGGCTCACGGTTTGTGGTGTGTTGAAGCTCTCCCGGGATTCGGTGGAAAACTTTGGCTGATATTCAACTCATGCTGAGCTTTTCTGTGGTATAATAGCAACCCCACCCCCTTTTTAGTCTATTTATGCAAAGCATTAAGACACAAATTCAATCCAGGAGTGACTCAGACTGTTTTTCCCTGATAGAGGAAGGTTGTATTTTTGGATTTACCCTTTTTATTTTTTTTACAGTTTGTTGTCAGAAAACAGGAAAAAACAGGAAAATATCGCCAGACTTTGCTGTTTTTTTTTTACCCTTTAAAGCCTGATCCAAGAATAAAACAAAACAGAAAATTACTTTTTTTTTGTTTGAATTCCTTATTTGGCCTTTTAACAAAGTATGTAAAAAGAACAGAAATACATTTATAACATTAATAATTTATTACTATGCGATAAGTCTAGATAATTTTTTGTGTAGTCTTCTGCCCCCTGTTATCAGGTGTATCTGATTGTGTACAATAGTATTTTGAGCAACCTTTTTACCATTAAATAATGCAAAAGGTGTCAGACGCAAAACATTTCAGAAACCGTATGTATCAAATATGATACATTTGGCATTACAGGGTTAAGATGGTTCTGACCCTCGGATTGTCAAAGCAAAACCCCCGGTTTCTTCTGGGGCTCCAAACTTCCAGTAAACTCTCGATAGAAGAGCATGTGTCTGGTGGTGGTTCTGGGGGGAGAAAAAAAAGGGGAAAGGGGGAACTAACCTGTCTGGTGTTTGGATTGGGGGGTGTTTATGGTTTCTCTCTGCTCACTCCTGGGTTCCTTCTTCTCCTCCTCCAGGCGGATGAGCGCTACAGGAAGAACGTGCAGGGTTCCCCCCAGGCCGCCGCCGCGGTTAAAGCGCCCGTACCGGCGCCGCCCCCCCGCTCCGAGGCCTCGCACCCCAACGGGGGCGCCCCCCCCGAGCCGCCCGCCGCCATGCACCGGCCCGGGGGGCCCCAGGTGAGACCAGAGGGGGGGGGGGGCAGGTGGTCTGGTTTAACCAGGGGTGTCAAACTCTGGATAAAACCTGGAATATGCATCATAAAGTCATTTAGATAAGAACTAGATTAAAAATAGGACTGTACAAGTAAAATTTAAAGCAGGGGTGTCAAACTACAACTCCTATAATGCCTTGCTGTTGTCGTGACGCTGGATAAAATCTGGAAAATGCATCAGAAAGTCATATAGATAAGAACTAGATTAAAAATAGGACTGTACAAGTAAAATTTACAGCAGGGGTGTCAAACTCTGGCCAAATATCAAATAGCTACGAGAGCTGTACAGACCATTAAGGGCTCATACTACAACTCCCATAATGCCCTGCTGTTGTCGTGACGCTGGATAAAACCTGGAATATGTCAATCAATCAATCAATCTTTATTCCAGACACAAAAGAGGTCCATATTAAACACAAATAATAAAGAAAAAGAAAAACAGACAAACATCATGCATCATAAAGTCATACAGATAAGAACTAGATTAAAAATAGGACTGTACGAGTAAAATTTACAGCAGGGGTGTCAAACTCTGGCTCACAGGCTCGTACTACAACTCCCATAATGCCCTGCTGCTGTTCAGGACGGGACCCAGAAACTCCTCTGTGACAGTAGCTACACACTACAGCTGTCACTGTGCTAAACTTCCCAAAAATGACCAAAAGAAAGGCAGGAAACAGGAGCTTTCTGGACAAGAAAATTTAATTTTTATATTAATAGAATAAAAAATAAAAATTTTTTTATAAATGAATGCCATTTATGTGCTTTTTTTTATTATTTATTTATTATTTTTTATTTGATTTTTGCATGTCTCCACTATTAAGTTATATATAATGTAATAAGAGTTGCTTGTTCCATATTCAATGTTAAAGCAAAATTTGTTTTGTTCCATATTAAAAGATTCATTTGTTAAATCTTTGTTCAGGTTTTAAATTTTGGCCCACTGGGTTTTTGAGTTTGACACCCCTGGTTTAAGGTGAGGCTCCATCTTGTGTGTGACCTGGTTTTCCATCGACAGGAAATGCTTTTATCTCTAACTCACTTTTCTCTTTCAGGGTTTGCTCTTTTTTTTGCTCATTGCTCCGAAATGTTTCTGATTTCTGTCTGATTACTAACCTGAAGCCTTTAAGGTTGTTTCTATTCACCAGATTTTTTAATGCTAAATGTATTTAAGCTGGTGTTGTCGCTCCATTATGTTCATGGCTGTAAATGTAAAGCCTTTTACTCAAATAACCCTTTTGTTTATGAAGCTTATTAAGACATGGAATTGTTTAAAAATGAATCGGGGGAGAGCCTCCTTCCTTTTCCCTCCACCTGAAACCTGGTTTGGTCCAGATGTGTTTGACCCTCAAAGCCAGATGTGGACTCTCTCTCTCCTCCGTTTTGCTCGTGTTCGAGGT